GCTGCTGCTGCTTGTCTGTTGCTGCTGCTGCTTGTTTGTTGCTGCTGCTGCTTGTCTGTTGCCTTACTGCTGCTTGTCTGCTGCTGCTGCTTGTCTGCTGCAGCTGCTGCTTGTCTGCTGCTGCTTCTTGTCTGCTGCTTCTTGTCTGCTGCTTCTTGTCTGCTGCTGCTGCTGCTGCTGCTTGGCTGCTTGGCTGCTGCTTGGCTGCTTGGCTGCTGCTGCTTGTCTTTGGCTGCTGCTTGGCTGCATCAAAAGAGTGGAGACATGTCATGGCGGAGCTGTGGCGGATGTACTTTGGTACCTCGTCCGCCACCTCGTCCGGTACCTCGTCCAAGCCACCCCTTCGTTTCCTGCTCTCCAATAGCTGCAGACCTATATACAAATATGGCAAGCACAGGTCTTTGCAGTACATGGCTCAGCCATCGAAGGCAGCTGCATAGGAAAGGGAACATTGCAAAATCCATTTGATGGTCGTGGCTTGACCGTTTGCTTACTTGAGCATGCATGTGTCTTGAACCCTATTTTTACCACAGCAGCAGCAGCAGATTCAGGATTCCTTGCCGCAGCCTGATTTAGATCTTTCAGGCCGCGGCAAGGAATCCTGAATCAGGCTGCTGCCACAAATCCTCGACAGAGTCGGTTGCTGTGGTTGTGTAGGGATTCAAGACACATGCTCAAGTCAGCCAATGATCAAACCACAACCATCACGAAGCCACACTGGAGCATGCACATGGATTAGTATCAGTGCTTTGGGGAACCGTCACTTGGTGGAGTGGATCATACGGCGTCCCATGGTGAACTCAGTCAAGAAACATACCAATTCCTTCGTTTCCTGGTCATTGTTGGATGTGCGTCCACATGCTGGAATACAGTTTTCTGAGGCGTTCAAGTAAGATTAAACGATAGAAACAAACATAGTTTTATCGCTGCGTCCTGATGGTGATCTACATGTTTTTGCATTGACTTGTTTGACTTCCTGAATGCGCGGCGTCTCATGTGGAACTGGCGTGGTTTCTGAAATTGCTTTGACTTCTGCGGGCCGGTGTAGTAGGTTGGAGGCCATCGCTAGTAGGTTGGAGGCCATCGCTAGTAGGTTGAAGGCCATCGCTAGTAGGTTGGTTGGAGGCCATCGCTAGTAGGTTGGAGGCCATTGCTAGTA